GTAATTAGTTATATGCTAAGAATTGATAACAAAATAGTAAAGCTCAATTATAATTAGAGATTATTAGTGTCAAATTGTTATTTAAGTACTTATACATATCAAACTTATGATCACATAACAAAATATACTTAATTTATAAGCATGTAATATATTTTGTTTATCTTGCAGACATAGAGCAAAGTCGTAAATCTCTAAGACCGACAGGTAATATAAAACTATACAGATGAAAATTTTAAACAAAATTATCAAGCGATGAGTCCAATCAATATGGTTCCCACTCGCACAATATGCCTGCACCAATGCCACTGCCTCTTAGAATTCCTAATGAACATTTGCATTATAAACACTGGTTACAACATGTCTACAGCCAGACCGGTACTGCCAGTTTTGGTTATTGTAACATTTTTACACTAAAATATAACAGTAGTAATTGTATACTATATAAAATTATTTATTTATTTATATGTAGGTGACCATAGATTTTCAAATACACATGATGGATTTGCCACAATCCAGGAATTGTTTTAAGCCCAAATAAGCCAATATGGAATATTATACTCCAAACAGGTATTATATGATTATACATTTGAATAGCATATTTTATTAACTTCCGTTAGGGTAAGTTATAGTAATCACAAAAAATTGAAAATGAAATTTTTTATATATCTTTGTTTTAAAGTTTCTGAATATTTTGGCATACCTTAGAAAAAATGGATATATGTTGTCTTTGTTGTGTATGTATGTGTGTGCGGATACAAATTTTCATCGACGATTTCGGGAACACCGATCAACCGATTTGAATAATTATTCATTCGATTCGAAATTGATACGCGCTGATTAGTTTTTGGCGAAGGTCAAAAACGGTAACTCAATTTTTAAGAGAACGGAGCATCCGACTTCAATAATTCAAAAAACATTTTACTTGTATTGACAAGATGAAGAACTGATTAAATTTTTGGGAAGGCAGGTCTAGCGCTTATGGACTCTCAATAAAAATAAGTTAAAAAAATGTCATTTGCAGTCAAAAATTTTATTGGACATATGTACATCAAATTATCAGATATTTTATAGAGAGTTTTAATAATGTGTATACATTTTGTGTAAATTTTTTTGGGTTTCGTACCAAGATTTTTGATTACGGTACGGGAAGTTCCAGCAATTTGCCTTAAGGCACGATGCCATGCACCCCACTAGTTACTTTTATTAATTGTATTAAAATGTGTAATTTAAATACTATTACAAGTTTTTATTATATTACAAGGTTTATGCTTATTTGTATCAAACTTATTCTTAATAAAATTCAAAATATAACGTTCTTTAAACATTAATGTATATAATTTTGTGTGCCATAATATTTATGACCATATTCCTTTGAAACAGCTTGACCGATCTTTATGAAATTTGTCCATCACTTATTTTTATAAGGGTATACTTAAGATTTTTTTTTTTTGAGGGCATTTTTTAATTTCATTTTTTTATCATTTGTAATTAAGATACATACATTCCTAAATTTTTACCGTATTACCACCGACCCCGACGCGAATAATGTTTCATACCACATTCAGTCAGTGAATGGTTCTGACATACTTTTGACTCGGATTCTTTGAGCTTATGAAAAGGCTTGAATTTTACTTTAAAAAAGAGTTTGTTTATCAAGGGTTGGCCAACCCTAACACTTTCTTAATTTTGGGGTCAATTTAGTTTTTTCAATTTTTGAAAGTTTGAATTTTGAATTTGAAAAATTCTCCAAAATATAGAAATTTAACATTAAAATCTGTAGACAAAACTGTTTTTGAGAGGGAACTGGAGATTTTTTCATAGTTTTTGAAATCGCTATCACACAACAAATCAATTTAAAATGGTGTGTAATCGTAATGAGTAATTTCTCACACTATTATTCCCTGATTAGAGTTAAAGTTTACTCAGCATATACTAAGAATGGCATGATCTAGTAAGTTGATTATAGATGCAATCTTAGTCGATACGTGATTTTCCATTGCCTTTTCACACCGCTGTGCCTGAAATGAGCTATTTTAATTGAAAATACTTATATAGTAGAAAATTAGTAGGTCCGAGACGTGATTTTCCATTGCCTTTTCACACCGCAGTGCCTGAAATGAGCTAATTTTAATTGAAAATATTAATTAGTCACAATGCTAAGATTTTATAAAAACACTGTAAACATCATGGTGAGAGTTTTGAGATTTGTTTTCAACTTTATGTAGAAATTATGAAAAATAAATATTGATTTATTGCAACTTCCTAGCTAATTGCAAAAATACACTATATAATTTTACATTTAAAAGACGTACGTTTTCGGACTTTGCTTATGTCCACAATGAATGTGCTCTTATAGCATCAAATATCTATATAAAGACTTTTTTAGCTATCAATAGTTATTTTCCATACAGTAGGGGTATACTGGTATAGAATTTAATTGAAGATATTATTTATTATATACTAATTTATATTATTTGAATGATTTGTACATTTAGAATGGATTCTGCCCGAATGCAAAACTGGGATTCAAGTTACTTACCAAGTCGTCAAGTTATGCATGCAAATAATTTCATAAAACCAGTGAGAAATTTAGCTGCATTACAACAGAAACGATTAGATATTATAGCACAATTGGAAATTCTGGCAAAACAGACAATAAATAATGCTGCTAAAATGAATGGCAATAATGGAGTTATGGATAGGCAAGATGATGTCAGTTGTAGCTGGGAGGAAAATGAAGTTTTACGTTTTTCTCCGGTCGAATCATGTAAGAAATTTCTTACAATCTTTTTTATTACATTTTCATAATCAATTATTATTTGAAATTATTCATAACCAAATTTTATATCATTCATAATCAGATTATTTTTTAAAAGAACTATATTAAGATTATTTTGATGAATATGCATGATTACTTCATTCAGCGTATCAACCTATTGAGTGAATTTTTGTGTACTTCTAAGTCAGTCTAAGCAGTTCCGAATGAAAATATGATTTTACTTTGGAATCATATTTTTAAACTTACTAAATTTTTGAAACTAATAAAATACTGCTTATAAAGTTAGATAAAAATAAACTAGTACGTTAAAAATAGTAAATAAAATTAAACATAAAATAAAAAATAAAATTAGTAAATATAATAAAATATATTTTAATTTTGTTGCTATTATATTGCAGCAAGTGCGGTTTTTGTGAGGTCTGATTCAATTTTAACAGATGATGACTATGTACCTTTTGAACCAACACACCAACGCCTAAGTATGGACCAATTTCGAGGATGTCTAACCAGTCCATTGGCAGAAACTCACAAGGCGCTAATAATGGTAATGGTCAGTTCATAACTGAAGGAAAGAGAATGAATTCTCCTTGGATGTTTTCTCAGGTAAAGTCAATTCTGCCAATTAAGAAGCATGTTATGACTGGTTATATTTTGCAAATGAGCCTCAATCTTTTATTTGCACTATCCAAATCAACCTGTTTTTATCTGAAAGCAATGTAATTTATTATAATGTACTATATTAATTTGTTGAGCGAGCATTAAATGAAGTTATATAGATTTAAAAAAATATTGATCATTCAATTCCTGTCATTAATGCTAAGTAATACATTTTTAGCAAACTCTTAGTTACACAAAATTGGTTTCAATGCTGCTGTATTTACAAACTATTTGATTTCTGTAGAATTTTGTCATAGTTGATAGTAATTACTCATACAAAATCAAATTTAAATCACAATTATTATTTTTATTGTGAAGCTGCCTGTATATATTCAACATATTTTTTCATTCATCTAAATAATTTATTTATTATAAATATCAAGATAGAATTGATGTGCATCTTAATGAATGGGCCAGTAGAGCATGCTTGGAAGACCAGCCCATAAGGTTGAAAAGAAAATTAAAAAAAAAAAAGTTAAACCTAAAAAATACTTTTATTTTGCTATATTTTATTATTTTTTTTATTTATTTTAGTAGTAGATACGCCGCTGGATGTTACTACTATTTTACTTGCTACTATTTTTTAGTTAATATGTCTTTTATTAATATTTACTTGCTACTATTTTTTAGTTAATATTGTCTTGTTAGCAGTCTTTGCTTATTGTTTATAAAAAAACATATTGATATATATGTTTATAAAAAAACATATATTTGAAATTTGATATTTATGTTTTTTTGTTGTGATGTGTGATGTTTAATTAAATAAGTATAAAACGATTTTAGAACCAGGTGTATCAGCCTTCCAGTGTCGTGGGAACCATAAATGAAGCATATGTCCTCAGTCAAGATCCGAATAAACAAATGTTAAATGAGAACCAGGTAAATCATTTAAAAATGATAGATTTTTTTAATAAAAGTAGGTTTTTAATTCAGAAGTCTAAGAATAATAATTAGTAATAACTATCCAGAAAATTTGAACAACATATATTTATTTATATATATATATATATATATATATAATTAATAAAAATTAATTAAATAATAAAACAATAAAAACCTTCTAAACAGGCATCCATCCAGATAATAAATAGAAAGAAAACTAAATTATGTTTCTTAAAATAAATTGAATAGATTCATACGTCTTAATTGGACTCTACTTCAGTGGAAACAGTACACACAAGTAATTAAAACACTAAACACAAAACAAAAACATATCAAAGAAAATTATTACTTAGAAACAAATGAAACACAAATCTTTTGATTCGTGTTTTGTTCTTCTAGATATGATGTTAGAATTTATTATTTTTTGTTTAATTCAATTTTTAAATATAAATCATATTTATTTATTTTTTCACTAACATGCTTCATTCCTAAGTAATAATTTTCTTTGAAATGTTTTTGTTTTGTGTTTAGTGTTTTAATCTCTCATGTGTTCTGTTTCCACTGAAAGAGAGTCAAATTGGAACTTGAAACATATGGATCTAATAAATTTATTTTAAGAAGCATATATATACATAAATATATATATATATATATATATATATATATATATATTGTGATAAGGTTTTTCAGCCACAAGTCGAAAAAATAAACACAGAATTTGAATATTAAATCTTCTTTAATACATTTTGAGCTATTGTACTAGCTTATCATTCAGCTAAAATACAAAAAGAGTAATAAAATAAAGTAAAAATAAAACAAAATTGAAATTATATGTACCAAACCAGTTTAAAATTATTTTATATAAAATTTGACAATTACAACATAAATATTTTGTTAAAATTAATTATTTATTATATTTATTATACTTATTTTTTTTAAATTCTATATATATATATTATATATATATATATATATATAGAATTTAAAAAAAATAAGAAAAAATATTTTTTTGACTTGTGGCTGAAAAACCTTATCACAATATGTTTCAAAGTCGAATTAAACATATCAAGATATATATATATATATATAATATATATATATATATATATATTATGATACAATTGTTTCTTGGGCATCCATCCAATAATTAAAAAAACAGTTTTAAAGCAAAATGTTTTAATTAAGAGAACATACGTTTTGGTCCAGATTTGACCCATCTTCAGTGCTACAAATAAATATATCAGGGTTACAAATTATTATTATTTGTAGCACTGAAGATGGGTCAAATCTGGACCCGAAACGTATGTTCTCTTAATTTTGCTTTAAAACTGTTTTTTTAATTATTGGATGGATGCCCAAAACAATTTTTTCATACTATTTCACCATCTGAAGAAAAACCTCTCGCTTTATATATATATATATATATATAATATATATATATATATATATATTTAATACATATTTTTTTTTTTTTGTTTTAGCAAGCATTGTTGGCTGAATCGCAACGTATGAAGCAACAACTACATCATCTAGAACGAAAAATAAAAGTTCTAGAATCTGCCAATAATCATAATCAACCATCTTCTGTTCTCAATAATGAGAGTGAGCGTCTCGCAAAAGAATTAAGATTGGTTGAACAAGGCATTTGTCACATGGAAAGAGAAAAGGAAGCTGCAGCCATTATGAACAAGATGGCAAATAATGGAAATTCATTGTCCCAAGGTCAACAAGCATTTTGGGATCATAATATTACAAATAGGGAAGATGTGAGTTATTTTTAATTTATTATAATTTACTTTGTCTTGATTTTATTGCCTTAAAAATGATATGATAAACAAGAAATTTGATTTAACCAGAAAGGAAGGGTGGGCTGGTTGATCTTCCTAAAAAAAATAATTACAAACAATTCAAATTAAGTATTAAATCATTTCTAACTAATGATGACATTAATTTTTCTAAATTTTCTGCCTCTATGGAAAATTCATGAAATTTTTGCTTATGCCCGTGGGGGCATGTGGGTTACCCTTATTACAACAACAATTAATAAATCCTTACAGTTTATATTTGGATTTTGAATAATTTGTAGTTGAAATGCTGACTTTAGTTTTTCCATAATGTTATATTGCTGATTATGGAAATACCAAAGTCCTCATTTTTGAGTGATATGTTAATTGATTGATGTGGGATGCATTAACCATAATTGCCATAACATAATTTTACACTGCTTTATGACTTTTTTTTTGAGGAATTGAGAAAAAATTAACAATTTAATAAGCAACATTTTTACAGTTATAATAACAATAACCGTTATTAATGTTAAGATATTTTCAAACAAAATACTAGTCAAAGGAATTACATCAAAGAACATATTATATAATATATAAAATTAATATTTCTGAACAAGTTCTAAATTAAAACTGTTAATATTAGATATATATATATATATATATTATTATATATAATATATATATAAATATTATAGATATATATATTATATCTATATATATATATATAATATATATATAATTAGGTTGTCAAATATCTCCCTTCCGCCTTTTTGTATTATAAACCAATAGCAAAAAAGCGAAGGGAGATATTTGACAACCTAATATATATATATACTATATATATATATATATAATATATATATATTTGTGTGTGTACGTGTGTTCATTAATATGCATGCATTAATTATTATTTTGAATTTACTTTTGGCGTTAAAAGAAGACTATGAAGCTGATATAGCACATGACATGCGGGAGCTGGAACTTAGATGGGAGAATGAGTTAGAAGAACAAGAAAAACGTTGGAACAATACACAAGAAAAGTAATAAAGCAGGTAATTAGAGGTTATGATTAAGTTCGTTTATCAATTTTTACACAAATTCCCAGCGACTGACATTTTTTATAAAACAAAATATTTTCTATGATTTGGACAATATTATATTCATAATACTATTAATTTAATGTTTTTATATCTATATCTATATCTTATATATTTTATTTTGACTTCTGTGAAAATGGAAAGTATCATTAGTCGCAGTATCTTTTGTTTACAGTTTATTATATTTTTAATTTTATTTTTTTTTTTTATAATTGATATCTAAATTCAAAAATACACACCGTAAGATGTCTAGCTTTTTATGGCTAAATATTATTATATTTCATAAATATTTAGCATATATATATATTATATATTATAGATATATATATATTAATGATTATATATATATATATATATATATATATATATATATATATATGCATACTATGTTATATATATATATATATATATATATATATGTAACATAGAAAAATATCCGTCTATTTCTGTTTTGATAGAATATAATATTTTTATTAATAAATAAAATATGTACTAAAGTATCTATTTTTGGGTATGATTCGCAAATTAAAAATATATATATTATATGTAAGTAGAATAATATTCTTCTATTCAAAAATGCTAATAAATTGGATAGTTGGCATTAAGCAAACATTTCAATGCCAACAATTCAACATTGTCGAAGTTTTCGATTTTAGAAGTCATTTTAATTTAAGCTATGTAGGAATATATTGATGCAAAACAATCCTTTATTGAATTTTTTTTATCATTTAATATTGATTTATAAAATGTAAGTTTATTTTTTGACTATGGATCTTTATAAAAAATTTTAATGAAGTGATAAACAGTAAATTTCTGTATTTTGTCAATTTTTACAGTATTATATTTTTTCTTGTAATTGAGACATTGCATCAGAGTCAATTTTAATTAAATGGATTTTTGTTTTTGAATCATCTTTTTATCATATTATTTCCAATTGTAATTTTAATTTGAAATAAATTTATTAATTTATTGTACCACGACAAATTATATTTGTTTTTTATGAACGAGTAATTAATGTTCATAAACTAGTTTAGTTGAGAAGACTCATAATATGATGTCTACTAATTTGTGATCAGAGTTATTTAAGGGGGCATTTATTTCTAAATCAATTTTACCTAAAAATGTAACAAAATTTTAATTATGTAATTTAAACGGTTGTTGTAAAACAAGTGATTATTGCATTATTTTCAAAACCAAATAGGTTAGAATTCCTGAGATTATTAATCATGTTTTCATCAACATATATTTTTCAAATAAATTTATTTTTTATGATTTTGCTTTGTTCTGTCCAACAGAGTTTTTGTGATTGCTCATACTGTATATTTGATTCAGAATGGATGACCCTTTAACTAAAATATATACAATCATGCTGTGTATGTAAAATGAAATACTATTTAAACATAAATATATATATTATAGCAATTATATCAATTTATATATAATTTTATCAATGTTGTTTATTGATAGAAATTATATTGTTAGAATATGTTATTGATAAATTGTAGATGAATGTCTTGACTAGTATATGGAGTTATTTTTGCAGTACTAATATATCACATCTGGAAACTTATTAACTAGGTTATTTTTTCAAGATTCTGCTTGAACATTTTTACATAATCTTTGGGGACTTAAAGTATTTTACAACTATTTTTTTTATTGGACAGTGTTTGCCCGTATGATATATTGCAAGTCCATTGCTAGTCATGAGCATAGTTTAATGATTAAATATATACCTATATATATTTATATTTATATGTGAAACGCATTTGTTTCAAAATGCATTTTTTTAACAGTATATTAACAATGTTATTAGCATTAAATATATATATATATATATATACATAATGGATTTTCAAAGGATTTTTCATAGCTTTGAATATATCCTGATCTATTTTTGAAATTAATATTTGAATCCCAAATATAATTAATATAATTTATTTTCATAAAGACAATATGAAAATATATATTTTCTATTGTTTCATAACTAATTGTAATCTGAATAAGAAGTAATTATGAACAGAAATAAATTCAGTTCATTTTTATTATATTTTATGAAAATTAGTATTTTGAATTTTTGGTATGTATTTTATACCTGAGTTTTTATGCAATCTTGAATTTATTAGTTATAATTAATTCATTAGGAAGAAATTTATTTTATATTAACTATGTTTCTATTGTTTATTAACTATGTTCTCCTTGTTCTGAATTCTTGTTTTAATAAGGAGAAATATGCATGTTTTTTTACAGTATGCTTTTATGAATATGCCTTTATTAATCTTTTTTTTACATTTTTGGTTAAAATTTGGTTCAAATTGTATTTAGGGTCGCATTTTTGTTATATCTACTGCCACAGTCTGAAATCTTGATCATGAAAACAATAGAATTGGTAGAGAATGTTTTTTTTATTGATTTTATTTATTTAACATGATGTATAAAAATATTGATCTGGTATCAATGATATTTAAAACCAATGATCTAAAATATAAATTTCGTTATTTTTATATAAACATGGATAGTACCTAATTTTGAAAAATTTGAACAGTTACTGTATTAAAATTATTCATATTTCCTCTTACATTTTATTTGTTATGATATTGGGATCAATGATATTAAAAGTGTCTAATACAAATTTAGACATTACAAAAATTTTTATCGATCCATTTAATTCAATTAAATTTTTGAAACACATGTCGCACATGTAATTTGTTCACAGCTAACATATTTGATACTGATTATATTAATCATTAAAAGAAAAACTATATGTACAAATGTATTTGGTGGAAGTATATATAAATATACGAAATTTTGAATCTATTTTTGATTTTTTTTTATTATCGTATTGTGAATATATAAATATATTTATGATTGTATTATATTGAGTTAGTATAATATACCACTTTATATTCTATTAACATTATGTTTTAACATTATGTGATTATAACCTTAAAATTAATTTTACACTTTTATAAATTTATTTATTTTATTCATAAGCAAGATGTAAAGGTGTCCTCTTAGCTCGTCTCCATTGCACGAATCCGTACGGCGAACCTGTTCGCAAAGTGCGCAGACATTGCGAACAGAATTCGCCGTCGGTATTCGTGCAATGGGGCGCACCATTAACTGCACCGCACATTAAAGGTGCTCCACACCCAGTGCTGGATTTACAGTAGGGGCAATTGGGGCTACTGCCCAGAGCGGCAAATTTTTGGGGGCGGCAAAATTTGGATAGTGAGAAAAAATTCTATACAATATAATTAACAACATTTTTTATTTCAAAAAATATAATTAAAAAAACATAATACGATTGCAATGCAAAATTTGGGTTGAAATAAACCAAATTATTATTATTAAAATTTATTATTTTGCCTTGCCTCCCTCTCCAAGCGTAAATTATCGAATTGGTTAATAAGTTATCAAATTTGGCAATTTGACTAATATAAAGATCCGTAAACATGCTGCAAGTTTAAAAAAAATATGTTCTTCAGTTCTCGAGCCCTATTAAAATGACGAATTTGTGCACTCTAGCGATGCATGGCATTTGTGCCTTAAGACTAAAATTACTGAAAATTCCCGTACTGAAGATAACTTTGGTCATATGGACAAAAAAAAGTTGGGTTGGTGTGGCCTGTGTTGGCGTAATTGGTAGAATGATGGCTTCGTATCAAAAGGGTACCGAGATCGAATCATACCTCCAGCCATAAAACGGAATTCAGCAGCACGACTAACGTCGTGGTATTTATTTATTGTTGAATAACTCAAAGTTAATAATTAGATATCACAAACTAACAAATCATGGGGCAGAAAAAAAGCAGAATCTATGTGGCCTGAGTTGGCGTAATTGGTAGAGTGATGGCTTCGTACCAAAAGGGTACCGAGTTCGAATCATACCTCCAGCCAAAAAACGGAATTCAGCAGTACGGCTAATGTTGTGTTACTTAATTATTGCTAAGTAACACAAAGGTTACTTATAAGTTATTTAGATATAACAAACTAACAAGTCATGCGACCGAAAAAAAGTGTAATCTATGTGGCCTGTGTTGGCGTAATCGGTAGAGTGATGGCTTCGTACCAAAAGGGTACCGAGTTCGAATCATACCTCCAGCCGAAAAACGGAGTTCAGCAGTACGGCTAATGTTGTGTTACTTAATTATTGCTAAGTAACACAAAGGTTACTTATAAGTTATTTAGATATAACAAACTAACAAGTCATGAGACCGAAAAAAAGTGTAATCTATGTGGCCTGTGTTGGCGTAATCGGTAGAGTGATGGCTTCGTACCAAAAGGGTACCGAGTTCGAATCATACCTCCAGCCAAAAAACGGAATTCAGCAGTACGGCTAATGTTGTGTTACTTAGTTATTGTTAAGTAACACAAAGGTTACTTATAAGTTATTTAGATATGACAAACTAACAAGTCATGAGGCCGAAAAAAAGTGTAATCTATGTGGCCTGTGTTGGCGTAATTGGTAGAGTGATGGCTTCGTACCAAAAGGGTACCGAGTTCGAATCATACCTCCAGCCAAAAACGGAATTTAGCAGTACGGGCTAATGTTGTGTTAATTAGCTATTGTTGAGTAACACAAAGTTAATATTTAGATGTAACAAACTAACAAGTCGAAAATGAAGCCGAAAAAAAAGCAGAATTCATATGGGCTGTGCTGGCGTAATTGGTAGCATGATGACCTCGTTGCCAAAGGGTAGCGAGTTCGATTCGTACCTCGGGACACGAAATTGTGGAACGAGGCATGCACGGAATCATATCCGTTCGGATTTAGGACCCCAGGTATGGGTTTCCGATAGTCCGGACTTCCGATTATCCGGTCTTCTGATAATACGGACCTTTGGTTATCCGGACTTACGATTGTCCGGACTTCCGATAATCGGACCTTTGATGTTCCGGACTTCCGATAATCCGGATCTTTGATGTTCCGGACCTCCGAATATCCATACTTCCGATAATCCGGACTTCCGATAATCCGATTATTGTTGCTAGGTAACCGTGTTGTTGCTCTAACACAAAATTAACGCAATGGTTACATAGCAACGGTTGATGGGCAACGAAAATCGCAAAAACAAATAAACAAAAACGGTTACATAGCAACGGTTGATAGGCAACGAAAATCGCAAAATAATTTTACTGGAAATTTTGTCTTAGAGGTTACATAGCAACGGTTGCTAGGCAACGAAAATCGCAAAATAATTTTACTGGAAATTTTGTCTTGGAGGTTACATAGCAACGGTTGCTAGGCAACGAAAATCGCAAAATAATTTTACTGAAAATTTTGTGTTAGAGGTTAATCATTACATAGCAACGGTTGCTAGGCAACGAAAATCGCAAAATAATTTTACTGTAAATTTTGTCTTGGAGGTTACATAGCAACGGTTGCTAGGCAACGAAAATCGCAAAATAATTTTACTGGAAATTTTGTCTTAGAGGTTAACTTAGAGGTTACATAGCAACGGTTGCTAGGCAACGATAATCGCAAAAACAAATAAACAAAAACGGTTACATAGCAACGGTTGCTAGGCAACGAAAATCGCAAAATAATTTTACTGGAAATTTTGTCTTGGAGGTTACATAGCAACGGTTGCTAGGCAACGAAAATCGCAAAATAATTTTACTGGAAATTTTGTCTTAGTGGCTAACTTAGAGGTTACATAGCAACGGTTGCTAGGCAACGATAATCGCAATAACAAATAAACAAAAACGGTTACATAGCAACGGTTGCTAGGCAACGAAAATCGCAAAACAATTTTACTGGAAATTTTGTCTTGGAGGTTACATAGCAACGGTTGCTAGGCAACGAAAATCGCAAAATAATTTTACTGAAAATTTTGTGTTAGAGGTTAACCATTACATAGCAACGGTTGCTAGGCAACGAAAATCGCAAAATAATTTTACTGGAAATTTTGTCTTAGAGGTTAACTTAGAGGTTACATAGCAACGGTTGCTAGGCAACGATAATCGCAAAAACAAATAAACAAAAACGGTTACATAGCAACGGTTGCTAGGCAACGAAAATCGCAAAATAATTTTACTGGAAATTTTGTCTTGGAGGTTACATAGCAACGGTTGCTAGGCAACGAAAATAGCAAAATAATTTTACTGAAAATTTTGTGTTAGAGGTTAACCATTACATAGCAACGGTTGCTAGGCAACGAAAATCGCAAAATAATTTTATTGGAAATTTTGTCTTAGAGGTTAACTTAGAGGTTACGTAGCAACGGTTGCTAGGCAACGATAATCGCAAAAACAAATAAACAAATACGGTTACATAGCAACGGTTGCTAGGCAACGAAAATCGCAAAATAATTTTACTGTAAATTTTGTTAAGATTATCGGAAGTCCGGATAATCCGACGTCCGGATTATCGGAAGTCCGGATAATCCGACGTCCGGATGTCGGATTATCCGGGACTCCATTTTCCTCGCGAAACCCCACCCTCCTCCTCGGGGTTCATTAGGGGATGATACAGGATTCTCGCGCGTACCTCTCCTCTCGATCGAGATCGAGGGGAGCATACTTGGGGTCCCAAATCCGAACGGATATGATTCCGTGCATGCCTCGTTCCACAATGTTGTTTCCCGAGGCACGAATCGAACTCGCTACCCTTTGGCTACGAGGCCATCACGCTACCAATTACGCCAGCACAGCCCACATGTATTCTGCTTTTTTTCGGCTTCATGACTTGTTAGTTTGTTATAATCTAAATATTAACTTTGTGTAACACAACATTAGCCGTACTGCCGAATTCTGTTTTTTCGCTGGAGGTATGATTCGAACTCGGTACCCTTTTGGTACGAATCCATCACTCTACCAATTACGCCAACACAGGCCACATAGAATCTGCTTTTTTTCGGCCTGATGACTTGTTATTTTGTTATATCTAAATATTAACTTTGTGTTGTTCAACAATAACTAAGTAACACAACATTAGCCGTACTGCTGAATTCTGTTTTTTGGGTGGAGGTATGATTCGAACTCGGTACCCTTTTGGTACGAATCCATCACTCTACCAATTACGCCAACACAGCCCACATAGAATATGCTTTTTTTCGGCCTGATGACTTGTTAGTTTGTTATATCTAAATATTAACTTCGTGTTATTCAACAATAAATAAATACCACAACGTTAGACGTACCGCCGAATTCTGTTTTTCGGCTGGAGGTATGATTCGAACTCGGTACCCTTTTGGTACGAATCCATCACTCTACCAATTACGCCAACACAGCCCACATAGAATCTGCTTTTTTTCGGCCTGATGACTTGTTATTTTGTTATATCTAAATATTAACTTTGTGTTATTCAACAAAAACTAAGTAACACAACACAGGAAGTTGACCAAGATTTCAAGATACCCAAACTGTTTTACGCAATTGCCTACACTAAAAAGTACACCCAATAAGTATCATTAATAACACAAGAAACTTCTACAATTCGGATATGCTTAAATATTTTTATAATTAACGTTACAGCATAATGCAATTTGGCCGTAAAGTGGCTTATAATTAAATTAAAACAACAAATTAAATTAAATACAATATATTTATTCATTGTTTCATTAACATCTAAGCACTAAGCTATTTAATAGATCACAGTAGGCATCTTCAAATGAATATTTTCACTCATTAGTTGAAGACCACTTAGTTTACCCTATAAACAAAAACAATGAATTAGTAACAAGTCGCATAAAATATACCATAATAATAAATTACCTGATTAATCATTCAGTGATGACTTCCAAGCAACCTCAAAACCTTCATAGTAAAACTTAACAAGTGGTTTTTATAATAACTGATTAAGTTAGTGAGGTTAGTCATGTTATTGAGTTAATAAGAGTTAATCATCTAAGATCGTGCCTCTTCGTCGAAGGCCTATCGTCGAATATTTGCGTTTTTTTCATGTCATACTGAACAAAGATTGTTGAACATTGAATTGAGAGACCTATCGAGTATTTCAACGTATGATCCGATACTAACAGCTCATCATCATAGAAATCTACACAACAGAAGACAATCAAACAAATGATCAATCAATGGAACAATCAATCAATTCATCAAATCAAATCCGCCACATTAGGCACAGTCAGTCCCCCTAACTCATGTAGGTGTCGTAAAATACATATGAACACACCTCTACATCTTTATACGTAGCGATCGAAAATTAAACATTTAGAAACCAGTAATGTATAACTCGGCGTAAGTGGCATTTTACTTTAAGGCAAGTTGCACGAAGATCCCAATACGCGTAATCAATAAGAATTGTAATTTAGATATTTCGCGACAAACAATCAATCGTTTAGTTTTTGGTAGAAATCGGCTGTGCCGTTTCTTCACAATTAAATGTTAGAATATTTTTTGATAAAATCGTATAACGATAGATGTCGTAATTTTAAAAAACATTCTAAAATATTATAGACCTACGATAAGCGGTTGAATTATAAAAATTCTTCAAAAATAGGATTTCGCCGTGCACTTAAGCAATTCTAAAGTAAATCTATGCCAAATATCTATATACGTTCCGTGTTTTGTGGGTAGCTATTGATTACAGTTTACGTTCACACTTAAATAAAATAAATTTTTAAAACCCAAAATAGTAGAAATCACATATGGTAAACCAATCAATTTAATTAATACAATTACAGATATTATAAGAATGTTTGAAAAACATCATTTGGAAATCATATTGATTATTTTTCAGTGAAAACAAAAGTTATTTTCGCAATAACATTAGAACATTTTACCTAAACATTTGAGTCTAATTTCTTATTGTGTATTATGTGTATATTTAGATACTTAATGCAACTTGCACCAAGGCAAAATGCTACTTACAACTAGTTTTACTTACAAATCTTAGTTCTCATTGTCAAATCTTGATTCTTATTGATTAAGATGATTGTTTTTAAGAAGTTTTCGACACTTTCCTAAGTCAAAATGCCACTTAAAACTAGTTGTAAATATCCTTTCTTTAAATACTTACTTGATTTTGAAAAAATATTTTTTATTTAGTCAAATGTTTTATAAGTGAATGATGAGTTAAAGAAAATGAAAAAAAAAATTAAAATTAAAAATAAAAATAATTATAAAATAAATGTGGATTATCATTTTTCACCATATATTTGATTCATTTAAAAATATTTAACAAAAGACAGATAATTTTCAAATAAGAAAATATAAAAATGAATACAGATTCGTACGTTAAATTTAGTTTCGTACAAATAAATAAATGATTGCAAAGCATATAGTTATTAAATTAGGTGAATATTTTTATAGAATGGTCGATCCACATGAAATATTCAGCTAAATTTGAATAAACTTCTGGTTTCTCGGGGTCGCCACATTTTCCTGACCAAGAATATAATCCGACTATAAGACCATCTACGGCTAATGGTGATCCAATATCACCTTTACAAGCGCCCATATGTTTTTTAGAAGAGGAGGCACAAAGCTGATATTTTGTAAATTCTTGTTCTTCTATGTAAAATAGGAAGCAATCAAACTCGTCGACTATTGAAACGTTGATTTTTCTCAAATCACCTGCCATGTCTAGTCTTGTCTATCAATGAAAAGTAAACAAATTTAAAAATGTAATGTAAATATTGAAACTATATATTTTGATAAATAGCATGGTCATTTATAGTATAACAAACCTTCTTGAAAATATATGGAAAACATTGTATATGATATGGAATTCTCTAGCCGCATAAAAACGAATTGAAAATATTATTATTTTAAAGCTCAGACTTACGCATTCCTATCATGCAAAATTGAAGAAAATGATTTAGTATAAAGCGTCAATGAAGTTAAAAAATATTCACATGAAATAGATATAGTAAGAAAAGATTGATAGTCTAGCTATCAATCAATCAATATTATAGGTTGGTATATTATCTCAGATCTTGTAAAAATCGAATTTGAATATTTTTAAAATCTTAAAATGCAAAATTTGGAATATTTACAATCTTCGCAATGAATTAATCTATAGAAAAGAGAATCAAGATTTTACTGGTAAGGTTGATGATTTGTTTACACTGTGAATATTATTAGTGTTTCTAATACTGTGAGTATTAGTTAGTGCCATTTGTTTAAAACGTACAAAAACATATTTTTTTTTCTGAAAAATGCTAAAATAATCAGTAAAAGAAAAAGCTAATTTTTTTATCATCCCACCATATAATTTACAACTATTCTCAGTGGACATCTAGCAAATACAGCAAAATTTAATAATATTAATAATTAATTAATTAATTAAATCATTAATATTATAACAATCATTTCTAATTAATTCTTCTGATTTATCTTATATCAAATATACGAAGAAAAATGAAAATGACTCTAATGTTTCTAATTATATTACCATTGTTTATATAATTAATAGAAACATATGACACGTAGAAATTTCTTTAACAAATATAATAAATTTCATTTATCAATAATAAATGACATGTAGTAAATAAATGATAACTAGCTGTAAGTGGAATTCTGTCTTGAGGCAATTATGGCATCGTGCCTTAAGGCAAATTGCTGGAACTTTCCGTACCGTAACGAAATGTTCGAGGAATATTGAATGTTTTCAAATAGATTATTATAAATATTGTAACATTGTCTAATATTTATAAGAATTATATAAACTGAATTGCAGAGTTGAAATTATTTATAAAGTATATTAGAACTAATAGTCAGAATTAAAAATAAAATCTGAAATATTTTCGATATACAAAAAACTAAAAAAAAAAAAAAAGTTGGAACAAAATTTTTTTTTCCAAAATCAATTATTTTGTTAAGACAAGCAGAAAGTTCTTTGAATCATTTAAATCGGACGCTTAGTTCTCTCAAAAACTGCCATTTTTTACATATTTAGTTCCGTATCTTCAAAATGGCTCTGGGCTTGCCTTTGCCAAAAACTAATAAACACTTCTCCTAATCATTAATAATTGAATGTTTTTTAGATGATTCAAATCGGATACTCCCTTCTCTCAAAAATTCGATTTCTATTTTCTGCACTCTTTGCTCCGTATCTCCGAAACGGCTGGACCTGCCTTTGCCAAAAACTAATCAGCTCTTTTCCCTATCAATAGGAATCGAATGTTTTTTGAACCATTCAAATCGGTTGATCCGTGCGCCCTAGAACGTGACTGGAAAAATTTGTATCCATACATACATACACACACACACACATACACACACACACACACATCCATTTTTTCTGAGGTATGCCAAAACGTTCAGAAACCTTCAAAACGTCGAGAAATGTAAAAATTTTCAATTCCGATTTTCGGCCCATTACAATAACTTACCCTACGGGAAGTTTATAAGTAGAAGTTATCTTCTATTGATAATGAAAAGTTGAATATGTATTTGAATAATTTTCATCTTGAAATTTGTACGTGTTACATGTTTCTATTAAGTATATTAACAATGGTAATATAATTAGAAACATTAGAAACAATTCTATTAACAGTTATAGTAATCGCTAAAAAATCGAAAATGTGTGTGTGTGTGCGGATACAAATTTTCGTCGACGATTTCGGGAACACGGTTCAACCGATTTTAATTATTCGATTTTTCGAAATACATTATCGAAAAAGCAATCGATTCCTATTAATAAGGAGACGTGCTGATTAGTTTTTGGCACCGGCAGGTCTAGCCGTTTCGAAGATCCGGGGCAAAAAGTGCCAAAAACGGTAACTCAGTTTTTAAGAGAACTGGGCGTCCGATTTTAATAATTCAAAAAGCATTTTGCTTCTATTGACAAGATGAAGAACTGATTAAATTTTTGGGAAAGCAGTTCTAGCGGTTTCGGAGATCTAGCAAAAAAAGTAAAAAAAGCCATTATGAGATTAAAAATGATCATTAGACATATGCACATCAAATTATCAGATATTTTATGGAGATTTTAATATTTAAACAAAATTTATACTTATTGTTAAAATCTCTATAAAATATCTGATAATTTGATGTGCATATGTCTAATGATCATTTTTGATCGCCAAATGGCTTTTTTTTTACTTTTTGTATTGGATCTCCGAAACCGCTAGACCTGCCGTCATAAAAATTTGATCAATTCTTTATCTTGTCAATACAAGTAAAATGGTTTTTGAATTATTAAAATCGACCGCTCTGTTCTCTTAAAAACTGTGTTACACACACATACACACACACATACATCCATTTCTTCTAAGGTAAGCCAAAATATTCAGAAACTTTTGAAACGTAAAGATATATAAAAATTTTCATTTTCGATTTTTTGCGATTTCTATAACTTGCCCTACGGGAAGTTAAAAAAACCAAAAGTTTTTTTTCCAAAAAAGTTTTTTATTTCAAAAATTTAAAATTTTGCAAAAATCTTTTTTTTTCAAAGTTTAAAACAAATTTAATTTTTTTCAGAAAAAAATAGTTTTTGGTACGGCAAGTTCCAGAAATTTGCTTTAAGGCACGATGCCATACTCTACTTGTTTATTTTTGTATATGGCTTTGATATATAATATATCAAATCAAAGATAAATCAGAAAAAGTAATCATAAATGATTGTTATAACTTCCAAGATAGTTTTCAAAAATAATGTTTAAATAATTTTTGAACAAAATAAATATTATAAAATAGTGAAACTCACCTCGAATCTTTCCCATCCTGCGACTACTGCTGATGTGCCAGCGAGTGGTTGTTGTCCATAATCAGCCACTGTGGCCGGTTGTATATTATCATCGAATCTTAAAGGGTACGACAATCTAATAAGGGCCACATCATGTTCGAAAGATGTAAAGTTGGTGTCAAAGTCGGGATGTAATAAATAAAAATTGGCATCCACAATTATACCAGCGTAATAAGCCCTAAAGCTGCCAACTCGAACTTGAACTTGTTTTTCGTTGCGGACACTAATAAATGATAATAAAAATAAGTTATTTAAAATTATATATTTTATATTTTTATTTTTGGAAGATTGGATGGTAATATTTAAATTCAAAATTTGAATTGGGTAAAACTAGTAGGAGCGCTGAGGATTGTAGTGGCATTTTTTTCTATCAATATACCTTGAGATCCACTGATTTTATTTCTATTAAATGAAAAGATGAACAAATGCTGTAACTATTCCACCCAGTCTTATTCACTTGAATCTATAAAAGCTTAAAATCAAGTAAACTATTTAAACAATTTAGCAATCTCAAAAATGGTTACACATTATTTGTTGTGATTTATCAAAGAGCTAGAACAGCTTTTTCCGTTACGTACCTACTACGTATTTTAGTAATTTTAAATGAAAAATATTATATTATATATATATATATATATATATATATATACATATACAAAACCTTATGTTACAGAAAAAAACATAAAAATGTAGTCACGTAAAACGTGTCATGAGCAAAATAAGACTAAAAGTGCAACCATAATCGAAAACGACAAAGATATTTTAAATACCTACTAAAGATTTCTATATCACATCGAGATAGATACTGCTGTTTTGATCATCATATCTGGTTCATAAACGTGTGCATATTTTTTTTATTTACAGGTATGTACTGTTAAAATATTTCTATAATAATAATTAATTCTATTTGTTAACTTCCCGAAGGACAAGTTTATGTTTTCATAAAAAAATCCGATTTGCCAATTTTGTGTTTTCTCAACGTTTCAAGCCGTTCTGAATCGAATGAGACCAAATTTAATAAAAGTGTGAACTGATTTTTTACTGATTGAAACCGGTTGAAATTTTTTTCCGACGATTTTTATGAATTTTTTTTGACGATAGATACAATGGTCTTGTAGATCATACTAAAATCTTACGGCCCTACAACAAGTCGTTTAATTTTAAAAATTGGTCAAAGTTTGAAAAAAATTTGTCGCGTTTTTTTTGGTGTTTGTTAAAATTAGTCCTTTCATCGACGTTTTTTTCGAAAACGCCTGAACTGAAATTTAAAAGCCATTAGATGTATCTCGATGAGGACAATCGTTTCTCAGTTTTCTGTAGTAATCAAGAGAAAAGTAAAAATTTTTGTCCACGTTTAAGCCAAAAATTTTGACTCGATTTTCAAAATTCAAAAACTATTTGAAAGGTAATATTTGGGAATCGTGCTGATTAATTAATTGATTAATTACCTAATTAACTGTTAAAATTTTTTTTATAATTTTTTTCATGTTGATGGACATCATGGTCCTACAGAACATAATAAAATTTTACGTTCCTACCGCAATTAGTTTAATATTAAAAATTCATTAAAATTGAAAAAAAATATGAAAATATGTCAAAAGTTGTGTTAAAAGTCGTTTTTGTGATGTAATGAGTCAAAATTTGAATATCACAAATTTACTAGCCATTTTTTGGAATCAGCAAAAAAATAATTCTCAAAACTTTCTAGTTGTGTAAATGTTATGTTATCATTAATTTAAGTATCAGGAACTATGTACATGATATACGTAATATCTATATCTCAATCCAGTTGATAAGACTTATAAGCCAATTATTACACATTTCGGGAAGTTTTTGCAACTTGCCTTAAGGCAAAATACCACTTTCAACTAGTTTAATTTATAATTTACGTACTTTTTGAAGCATTGAGCAACAGTGAGCACAAATATCTACTAACTATGACTCCTCCACAAATATGATCACCTCTATATAAAACAGATGCCACGTAAGGTAATTCGCTGATGTCAGCAGGCTTTCCTCCGATCATACGAGAATCGGTCAAATTTTTGCTTTCTGCTCCTGAAAAGATGAATAATAGTAAAATATCAATCATAGAAAAACTGTTGTAATACATTACATTGCTAGTTAAAAATTTAGATTTGTTATTGGAACATTCAATTTGATCATTGAAAAATTTCATTACATAATAATAATAATATTTTATAAGGTTTCCATTCCATATCACAAATTTTTACAATGGCTGCAACTGGGTCAGCCCTTTTCAATTTTATTTAGTACGATAAAGCATAGCTTAATAAAATCAAATATAATTCCAGTAATTCATTATTATATATTTAACTTTATTATAATACCGCTTGTTAATACTTACCAGAAAATAATACAATAAAGAAAATTGCAAAGTACCGAAAGACCTCCATTATAATTGCACTGATTGTAAACTATACGTATAAAATTTAATATACTTAAAGTCAAAGTATTTATTACAAATTGTATTCTTATCAATTGTTAACAATAATCAATTGTATTTTTATTTGCTATATCCATACTACAGATATAGATAAATCGTAATGATACTATATACATTCTTTTCTTTCTAAGCGATTATTATTTGCAAGTTGTCTATCAAAGTTTTTATAATTAACTTTACACATGTTATATGTAATTATTGTAATTAATCGACAAATAGTTTAAATATGATAAGAACGCCTTCGTAAATACTCAGCTATGCAATTGGGACATATACGTTGTATATTCTATAAGCTTGGGCCAATATTTCAAATTTTAATAAATGTCGTAATTAAACCACTTTTTGCAATTTACTTACTTAATAACATTCAAAAAAAAAATGATATGATTGAATTATGAATAATCATTATTATTTAGAATTTCGCCCCTCGTTTAGGCGATTATAATCAGAATCTATGCTAATACACGCTTTGTATTGACTCGTTGGGTTTACTGATTACAGTTAACGTTCTCACTTGAATAAAATACATATTTAGAATACGAAACAAATGAAACGCAAAATGGATAAAATTAAATACGGTAAATTTATACAATTACAGATATTATAAGTATGTTTGATAAAAATCAATTGGAAGTCGCATTGATTGTTTTTTAGTGCAAGCAAAAATTGTATTTGTGAAATAAACGGTTAAACATTTTACCTGGAAAATAGCTGAATCTCAATTCGTTTTGATTGGGTTGATTATGTATATTTATCAGAAAGGTAAAGCCTTTCTGATAAATATACATAATCTTGCCTTAAGGTAATGTGCTACTTACATTTCAAAAGCTTCTGAACATTTTAGCATGCCTTAGAAAATATGGATGTATGTGTTTGTGTGCGCGGATACAAAATTTCGTCGACGATTTCAGAAACACGAATCAACCGATTTGGATAATTAAACTAGTTGGTATTGGTATTTAGCCTTGAGGCAAGTTACATGAACTTCCGGCTATGTGTAAATAATCGACTTAATCAACAATAAACAAATTCATTTATGAGTGATTAGAAGTATTCCGAATTGATTTATTACACATAATTGAAAACGAACGAACACGTTAACTTGGAGTATTTTCTCAAAGCAAATTTTCACAAATCAATAATTTTTATAATTGAACCAGTTTGCGTAGGACGTTAATCGTTTAGTATGTTCATTAGGACAAAGTAATCTATCGTTATACCAAGTAACTCATCTAATTTTAATTTTAACAAACGTCAAAAAAACTACTCATTTTCTCAAACTTTGATGAATTTTTAAAATTAAACTACTTGTGGTAAGGCCGTAATATTTCAGCAAGTTCTTTAAGACCATGGTATATATCGTTAAAAAAATTCCATAAAAGTCGGCTCAAATTTTTTTTTCAACAGTTAATTACAAGAAAATGGCTCGGTAGATTTTCACCTAAAACTAATCAGTACCATTCCCAACTAATATTATTCGAACAGTTTTTGATTTTTTAAAATCGGTTCGGTAGAATGAGCTTAAATGTGGACAAAAAGTTTAACACTTTTTTTTCAAATTACAAAAAACGGCTTGGCAGATCGTCGCGCAAAACTGACAGACGATAGAGGTCACCGAAATACATTAAATGGCTTTTAAACTTCTGAAATCGGTTCAGGCATTTTTGAGAAAACGTCGATCACAGGTCTAATTTTGACAAATGCCAAAAAAACGATACCAATTTTTGCAAACTTTGACGAATTTTTAAAGCTAAACCAGTTGTCGTAGGGCCGTAATATTTTAGTGTGATATAGAAGACTATGGTATCTACCGTCAAAAAAATAATCATAACAATCGTCGATTTTTATTACAAGAAAACGGCCTGGCCGATCTTAACCAAAAACTGATCAGCACGATTCCCAACCAATATCTTTCGAACGGCTTTTGAATTTTCAAAATCGATTCTGAATTGCGGGCTAAAACGTAGACGAAAATTTTTTCACTATTCTACGATTTATAAAGAAACGGCTTGGGCGATCGTCTGACAAACAATAGTTCTCATCGAGATACATCGAATGGCTTTTAAATTTTTGAAATCGGTCCAGCCGTTTTTGAGAAAACGTCGATTTACGGCAAAAAATCTGTTCACACACACACACACACACACATACTTTTTCCAAATTTGGTCTCATTCGATTCAGAATGGCTTGAAACGTCGAGAAAACATTAACTTCTCCTTCGGGAAGTTAAAAAACGTTCGTTTGCATTAATAAGGAGACGTGTGGTTAGTTTTTGGCAAAGTTAACTACAGACGTCTAGAAGTTTCAAAAATGGTAATTCAATTACGCACTTCGATATTTTGTCCCCAAGACAGCTACGCAGCGTAATTGCTTTAAAAAAGTCCAAAATAAATTCTAAATATAAAAAAAAAATTTAAAAAGTCAAAGTTTTAAAAGTTTTCAGTTTAATGCTTGAAGCTTTTTAAAAAATATTAATTTTTGTTCCGGAAAGTTCCAGCAATTAGCCATAAAGCACGCTGTCATACACTACTAAAGTTCAATAAATATCAATACTTGAGCTTAAATTAGTAGTTTATTCAAACTATACAGTTCATCATATAATAATAAATATCATTTATGACTCAACTCTTATAAGTCCTTCAATCCAATCTCTGTATTCAGCAATATTTGAATAAACTCCAGGATATTCTGCTTTAGCGCAATCTTCGCCATAAGAAACAGTTCCGACCAAGACTCCATCGATGGTAAGGGGGCCACCCGAGTCTCCAGTGCAAGAATCTTTACCACCTACAACGGGGATTCCAGCGCAAACTTGCCTTTCGGATACGTTTACTTTATCCATGTAAGAAAGGAAGCAATCGAATAGATCTATTATTTCTAATTCAACTCCTCTAAGATTTTTAGACAATTGACCACCGAACTGTGAACCAAAAATATTTTTTACTTAATTTGATAGTTTTGATAATTTTAAACTAAATAGTAAGTAATAAAGCTAAATAATTATACGATATATATTTTCTGCAAATATTTATATAATAACATTCAATTTTTTTTGTATAAGTATGAGATCAGCCAAATATTATGCAAAGTAAAAGCTATTTATAGTGCACACATAAATATTTTATTAACTCATGTTAGGATAAGTCATTGTAATTGTCAAAAATTCAAAAGTAAATTTGCATATCATCACGTTTTAAAAGTTTCTTAACATTTTAGATAACCTCAGAAAAATGGATATGTGTGTGTGAATGTATGTATGTGTGAATGCAATTTTTCGTCGATGTTTTCAGAGGTACAGCTCAACCGATTTGAATGATTAACTAGTGGTGTATGACATCGTGCCTTTGCTGGAACTTTCCGTACCGTAACGAAATGTTCGAAGAATATTAAATGTTTTCAAACAGATTATTATAAAATCTGTAATATTATCTAATATTTATAAAAATTATATAAACTGAACTACAAAATTAAAATGATTTACTTAAAGTACTTATTTCTTTCAAAAACTGCCAGGTTTTGTACACTTAGCTATTCTAAATGGCTGGACCTGCCTTTGCCAAAAACTAGTCACCATTTCTCTCAATAATTACAAATTGAATGTTTTTTAGATCATTCAAATCGGATGCTCCGTTCTCTCAGAAACTAGATTTCTATTTTCTCACTCTTAGCACTTTATATCCATAACGGCCGGACCTAATTTTTCCAAAAACTAATCAGCACATCTCCCTATCAATGGGAATTGAATGTTTTTTGAAACATTCAAATCGGTTGATCCGTGCGCCGGAAAACGTGAACACACAAAACACACACACACATCCATTTTTTCTGAGGTGTGACAATATATTCAGAAACCTTCAAAACGTGGAGAAATGCAAAAATTTTCATTTTCGATTTTCAGCCCATTACTATAACTACCCCACAGGGAGTTTATAAAGCTTTCGATTCCCGCTTATGGGGAGTAGTGCTGATTAGTTTTTGAGAAAGATCGGTCAAGCCGTTTCCGAGATACAAAGATCATGGGAATTAAATTTTCGAGAGTACAGGGCAACCGATTTGAATGATTCAAAATACATTTAATTCGTGATGTTAAGAAGACTTGGTGATTAGTTTTTGGGAAAGATAGGCCCATTTTAAGAAATAAGAAGCTAAAAATGTAAAAAATGTCAGTTGTACGATAACAAAGCATCGGATTCGAATGATTCATAAAACAATTTTTTTTGTTTCAAAATGCATTTATATTTTTTTAATTTTCAAAAAATATATTTTTCTAATATGAGAAACTTTGAAATTCAGTTTATACAATTTTAAAAAATATGAGATAACCTCCTTCATTCCAATATTGTTTGATCAAGTATTGTTTATTCACTTTTTATGTAAACATATATTAAAGTCATTGTCCAATCTACAATCTCTTATATTGCGTCTATAAAATTTGAATAATTAAAGTTGCAGCATTTATAATAATCTATTTGAAAATATTTAATATTGCTCAAATTTTTCATTACGGTACGGAAAGTTCCAGCAATTTGCCTTAAGGCACGATGTCATGCCCCACTAGTTTGTTTAATTTGATCCTATTTCAACCAAACAACTTGTCAGCATTCTCTGCTAAATATAATTATTTTTATAGATTGCAGAATGAAAATAAAATAAACTAGTGGGGTGGGTGGCATGGTGCCTTAAGGCAAATTGCTGGAACTTCCCGTACCGTAACGAAATGTTCGAGGAATACTGAATGTTTTCAAATAGATTATTATAAATATTGTAACATTGTCTAATATTTATAAGAATTATATAAACTGAATCGCAAAGTTGAAATTATTTGTTTAAAGTATATTAGAACTATAGTCAGAATTAAAAATAAAATCTGAATTATTTTCGATATGCAAAAATTAAAAAAAAAGTTGAAACAAAAAATTTTTTTTTTGCAAAATCAATTATTTTTGTTAAGACAAGCAGAAAGTTCTTTGAATCATTTAAATCGGACGCTTAGTTTTCTCAAAAACTACCATTTATTACATATTTAGCTCCGTATCTTCGAAATGGCTGGGCCTGCCTTTGCCAAAAACTAATAACCACTTCTCCCAATCATTACTAATTGATTGTTTTTTAGATCATTCAAATTGGTTTACTCCGTTCTCTCAAAAAGTCGATTTCTATTTTCTGCACTCTTTGCTCCGTATCTCCGAAATGGCTGAACCTGCCTTAGCCAAAAACTAATCAGCTCTTCTCCCTATCAATAGGAATCGAATGTTTTTTGAACCATTCAAATCGGTTGATCCATACATATATATACACACACATCCCTTTTTTCTGAGGTATGCCAAAATGATCAGAAGCCTTCAAAACGTCGAGAAATGTAAAAATTTTCAATTCCGATTTTCGGCCCATTACAATAACTTACTCTAAGGGAAGTTAAAAATAAAAAAAAAAAAAACATATATAATTACACTAGCACTAGCAGTAGCATAATTTTTTATTTTTTTACTCCAATTCTACCATTTTACAATCCTGAATGCGCTAACTTTTAGAACTTGGCAAGGCCCTTTAGTAATTTTTTTTCAAAGGAGGGCCTCTCAAAGTGGACCGATAAAAAAAATTAGATTCATTGTCCAACAAAAAGTTTTAATTCTTGAAACCTTGGGGCAGTTGAAGTATTTATTTATACTGTAATCGTAGAAATATTAAGCAATTCACGGTTTGGTTCCAAAGTTGAATGAACAAAATTTATAGAGGTTAACCATAATCGATTTTGGTCTTTTGGTTATTACATATATAAAAAAGCACTTTCATGCTAATCATAGAAAAACGGCATGACCCATTGACCAAACTAATCAACGCAAGTTCTTATCGAGTTTTATCAAATGGAGTTAAAATTGAAAAAAGTTAGATAGAATCATAGATAAGGAATGGGCAAAATGTTAAATTTTGGATCCCATACATACACATATTTAGTTCTAATTTTAATTAAACCAACAACTGATACTTTTATATTTAATAATTACCGATGTTCTGCCCCATCCAGACACATAAGCCTTGGTTCCTGCTGGTGGTTCGTAGTCCTTTTCAGCCATCATGATCGGTTGGATGTCTTCGCTAAACTTAAGCGGATATGCAAGTTTAACAAGAGCCACGTCATAATCAGATGTGTCATCATGGTCTTCTGGATAGTCAGGATGAAGAGCATAGAATTCAATATCAAATATCATTCCTCCATGGTTTATTTCAGAACTGCCAACACGTACTTTGACTTCTTCGTGGCTGTAGACGCTGTGAAAAAAGAGCACCATTTGTAATGACAAAAGTTTACTGCTAAAAATAATCTCATTTGGAAAACTATAATCAAACTGTTCAATATGCATGCATTAACTTCAGGGGGTTGTGTTACCCAAGTGCTGTCGATTTTGCTGTTATATAATATGAGCTACAAACATAAAAAAATCAATGCATATTTTTAAAATTATATTGGGTTTGAGTTTTTCAATGATATTAAATATTACTGTAAATCTTATTTTCTTAATTACTGACTCCCTGAAGGTAAAAAAAAAATATTTTCAGCCAGAAAGGTTGACTTGCTAATTTCATGTGTTCCTGACGCTTCCACATATTCTGAATCGTTTGAGACCAATATAAAAGCATGTATGTATGCAGGGCCAGCCCTGGAGCCCTCAGCGTCCGCATGCCATTACTTTTTTTTAGCGCCCCCCCACCTATTATTTTAGCTGTTTTAACAGTTCATCATGAAAATTATACAGAATTTACATTGAATTTTTAAAATACTTTTTAATAATTCTGTGTTTAGTACTCAAGAAATTAGATATATGTAAACTAAGAGCGCAAAATACATTGATTTTAAAATTATTCAGAAGATCGAGGCAATTCCCGGGTGCTCATAATCAATTTTTTGTGTCTTCTATCGTTGCCGCACTATCGAGCTATTTTTAAATATTTATTTTCAATCTAAACTTTTCAACACATCCAAAAATTTCAATATGTTATTTATTGCTTGCAATAAATTTTCAATTATTTCTAACACGTGCGTAATATTAATATTTGGGTTTTGAAACATTTTATTTATTTATTTTGAGGATTTTATGCAATTTATCCTATTGAGCAAATTAGAGATTAAAAAAATTCTAGTCTTTCATTATTAAACATAGCACTGGTACTTCATGTTTTAATTTAATATTTCATTATTTAAAATATCTAAAATTGCATGGTAAACTTCTCCTAATTGATATCGTAAGGGACGAATTGTATGTATTAACCTTTACTTTCCCATTTATTGTTTTCAAGTGAAATTTTTAACGTATACTAAAAATACTGTCCATAGATTAGTAAAAGATGCAAAGAAAAGTATATATTTTTTGAATTATATTAAAAGACTATATTATAAATTTCCTATCCAAATCTCGTTTTGGCGCCCTTTAAGGCGTGCGCCCGCATTTTTTGCATGCATTGCATTGAAGGTAGGACGTAGGACCGGCCCTGTATGTATGTACAGTAGGCCCTCGCTTTACACGGCACTCTCTGGGTACACGGTTCCCATACTACACGGAGCTAAAAATCCGACATCCCTCCGACTACACGGACTTCTTATTACGCGGTATTTGGTCAACAGCCCATAAGTTCGTTGTGCAAAAGGGTATTGTTGTAAATTTTGTTATCGACTTTTATCTTTTAGACATGCCTGATTGTATAATAGCCGCCTAAGAACACGTTTGAGCTGATTACTGCGTCGCGCCAATTTTTGAATAAGGTGTCAATTTCGTCACGTCATTTACGTCATTTCGTCCGTATTTCTCCTACTTCAAGTTGTATTTCTTGGTCTCCATACAACGCGATAAAATGGTGCGATTGTACCAACTCTGAGTCTCTCATAACACGGTTCCCATACTGCACTATGTAAGGTTCCATAGAACGCACTACGAATAGCCTGAATTGTATGTTAAATACGAGTTTCTTATAGCACGGTTCCTATACTGCACGGTACGCACTTGCCGCGTAAAGCGAGGGTTTACTGTATTCTTTATACTTCTCTTAAGCTAGCAAAAGCAAAATCGATCCGTATCAATCGTATTATTCAGTACTTATTTTGTACTAATTTGTACCAATAATAAAAAAAATTGTACCACATGCCATTTAAAAAAACGTGGTGCTATTATTGATTCATTTTCTTCCAAAATAAAAAATGGTCTTGCTAGCTTAATAATAAGCTAGCAGCTCCACTTTTTTAAGTGCCACGTGGTACAATTTTTTTTATTATTGATATAAATAAGTACTAAATAATACTACAGGTCCGGGTCGATTTTGCTAACTTGGTCTTGATAGCTTGAAATAGGTATATATTACATATTTTTGATTCAACAATTTAGAGAACAATATTAAATTCAAAATAAAATTGTGTAATAAGTAAAATGTAAAACTTACAACATGAAGCAATGAGCCGCTGTCAGGACAAATTGTCTAGTCAGAATCACACCGCCGCACACGTGTCCATTAAAATGGAGCAATGATACTTGATAAGGAACTTTCTTTATGCTTATTTCCTCACCACCAACGATCTTCTCATCAGTTTTATTGGTCTTTAAGATAAAGGATTCGGTATCCGAAACTGCAAAAAAAAATTGTTGAATTTTTCCAAACCTCGAAATGTATTTATATAACTATAACGTACCTAGGTAGAACAATACCAAAAAGCACAAAATAGATAAAGTTTTGGATGCCATTTTGAATCAGTGCCAAAGTCGAAATGAACTCCAGTTATTACTTCTTATATAAAATTGATCATTACGTGCACTTATCAGTTATCTTGCACTTGACTATTTAGAGCAGTCCAGCACTGATATCAATGTTTAATTTTTAATTAACTATCTTATCTACTAAATTAATAAAAAATGCACTTAATATACTTCTATTGCTAGATTTTTTTTAAATTTGTTGAAGTTTATTCTAAAATAATCTAGAAATTTCTAATGACATCAACGCGTTCGGCGCCAATATCTAAATAAATCTCAAATTAATTTTAAGATTTTCTCAGATTAATTTTAATATGCTTTTTCTTTCTTATATTTTTTTTCACAAATTAGAATAAAATTGATTATAAATTGTAATATATTTATATCAATACTAAATATATTTCTCTACGTATATTATATAAGGTAGGTAGGGGCACAAAAGTCTAATTTGACTTTCAGTAATTATACTGTCTAAACCAGTAATTTCCAACGTGGGACGCACGCTCCACAGAAAAGCAATTTTTAAATTCAGGGTGCAAATTAAAAAATGGCACGTAATTATTTTTAATATTTTAGATATTCAACATCAAGATGGATGTTCCTATAAAGGAAAGAATATTTATGAATTAAATCTGAATATAACTTGAGTACTTTCGTATAAAAATAAATACTTGCAGGTGTTGATAAAAACAATTAACATAAAAATAAATATGATTATTCATATCAATGGATATAAATTATGTACTCAATTACACCTTTATACTTGTACAATTCAATGTATAGACTAGCTGTATAAATATGAATAAAATATATAAAAGAGTTAATCATTAAGACAAAAATATATTAGTTTACCTGTTATCAACACTAGTTCTTATAAAAATACATCGAAAGCTTTTTAAATTTCCGAAATATGTGCAGCCACTTTTAAGAAAACTTCTTGAAAATGCCAAAAAAACGCCCAGAAATCATAAAATTAGCAGGTCATTTTTTCTGGCGAAAACAAACCACTTTTTCAAAAAGTTAGAGATAAGCAATTGGCTGATTAAATGTACAAAAATCAGTAATGAAATTAATTTGAATTTCAATTTTTGTAATATGTTTCACTTATAAACTTTTGATCACAATTTAATAGTGATTATTAAAGGCTTATCATTTCTATTTCTTAAGTAACAATCATTTTTAAAGGTCAAAAATTTTATATGAGAGTCACAACGTTTTTATAAACATTAAGGTGGGACGTGACACGTAAAAGGTTGATAAACATTGGTCTAAACTAAATAAACTACATGACAACACATACAATTTTTAAATCAAACAACTATCAAACTATGCTCAATAAAATTCCCAGTTAACTAGTAATTATAAAAATATATTTTTTACCTTTTTCTAAAATTGGTCATCTGTCCCTATTTACTCTAGAGGCGGAGTAGGAAGGGACTGCCAAGGGCAAACAGACCCAAAGTCTTTTTTTCAATTTTTGAGGAGTTTTAACGAAATATGAGCTACATTATTTAACCAATGTAAAATACAAATTTAATTGTATATAACCTTGATCTTGTATTTTGAAAGAAATATTAAGGTGGAATAACTATTGAATTAATTTATCTCTTGTAAACAGTGCTGGATTTATAGTAGGGGCAGTCGGGGATTTATAGTAGGGGCAGTCGGGGCTACTGCCCAGGGCGGCAAATTTTCGGGGGCGGCAAATTTTGGATAGTGAGAAGAAAATTCTATACCATATAATCAACTCATTTTTTTAATAACATTTTTTAATTTTAAAAAATATAATTAACAAAACTTACGGCAAGTTACTGAAACTTTCCGTTCTGAAAATTACAATTAATAAGAAGCTTTAAAATTTTTTGACAAATAATAAAAATTGAATTAAAAAGAACTTTTTTTTTATATTTCAACATTTTTTTGAAATTATTAGGTTTCATCTATTAAACTTATTAAATTTTATTTGAATAATTCGATTTCTATTGATAGTGAAACGTGCTGATTAGTTATTGGCCAAGACAGGTCTAACTGTTTCGGAAATACGGGCCAAAATGCCAAAAATAATAATATCGGTTACTATGGCAAATACTTTTTCTTAGGACTAATCTCAGCAAAAGAAAACAAGCAAATTATTAAACTAACTTTTGAATAAGTTTCAATTTAAAATTGCATTTAAATAATTAAATCATCAGTAACTATTCATTCATTATGCGATAAAAATTTGCAGCAATGGAACGCTGATATTTTTATGGTATCGAACCAATATTTTATGACAAAATATTGCAAAATCAATAATATTATCATATTATTATGGAATATAATAAAATGTCCAATTATAATATTCTTATTACTAATAGTAACATGCTACAAGTACTAAAAATCAGGTTAGTTCTATATTAGTAAAATAAAAATTCGAAATAAAAAAAAAGAGGGAAAAAATAAAATTAGACATAATATTATAATCTATAATAATATGATAATATTATTATCCAAACCATACACTTGTTCAAAACGTAATATAGTTTAAAAAAATTAAATTATTTATTAAATAATAATTTTACCTGAAAAAAATTGGAGATTTTCAGATTCAAAAAACAAAGATTATTTTAAAAGTTTTATTATATTGAATATTTGGACATTGAACATAAGTGTATATTATACATATTTCATTACACATTTATATATTAATTAAATATAATTAATAAAATAATCAAATTGATAATTATTATACTTATAGCTAAGATGCAACTATTTTCCACACCACCCAGGAGGTATAGTTGCCAGGCGCGTTTTTTTTACAAATAGAGTACAAATTGAGTACAGCCCTAGTCCACTTACAAAATAACTTAAATTATAAACTAAGCTAATTTATTAAGTCTAACTTAAATGATACGAATATAACATAAAAAATACCCCACGAGATAATTAAATGTATATGAATATCTTCTTTAGAAAAAAAACGTAGACGATGCAAGAACCTGTTAGAAATTAAAGGTAAAATTGTAATGTACTATGGTAATTTTGTAATTAAGAAAAAAAAAAAGAAAAAAAAAGTATTTACATGATGTACCCCCCTAAGATCCACCATGTAAATACTTTAACTTCATAGGTTCCCAGCACTATGAAGCTTATAGAGGAGTGCAATTATAAAGTTCATAAATTTGTGTATTATGTATTGTTATAAAACTGAATATTAAATAATTTTGAAAAAACGCGAAATCTATGCGAACTGGAAGGTCCTTGCCGTCTTCCCCACCCATTTTTAAAATAAAAAATGGTAAACTACCAGCCTAATGTATTCTAGCCTAATTTCAACTTAATAATATATCCATGTGTACGTCCTCTAACTTTGTAGGCAATTTTCTGGTTAGTTCTAATCTTGAATATATCTTCATCTCGCATGGATCTTGATCTTGATGTTTCACTGTATGTATCTTGATCTTGAACTATATCTTGATCTTGAATTGTAAATATCAATTTGCACTGTATATATTATAATATATCACTGTACACAACACTGGCACTATATATAACACGATTTTGCACGAGATATATCTTATTTATAATATGTATATAAATCCGTTCACGAATCAAATATAAAGAATGATTAACGTAAATGGGGCCCCGATGAAATAATATAGAAAATGATCTCAAAAAACTAATATCTTCTGATCTATCTTAGCAAGTAAGATAGATATCTTAATATAACAAAATAATATAGAAAATGTTCGCAAAAAACTAATATCTTATGATCTATCCTAGCAAGTAAGATACTTATCAATATAACGTTCTCCAGTATGCGCTTCTGGTGGTAAAGTGGTCCATCCTACTTAGTAAAGTGATGTATCTTAGTAACAAACTTATCTGAATATAACAAACGTTCTTATGGTCTTGTGCGCTCCTGGTTCCAAAGTGGTACATCTTACTCTTGTACACTGGTAATCACTAAGGTCCTGGTAAACATTCTTCCGTTTTAGTGAGTGTTTTTAGGACCTGTTCCTCTGGTAACTTCTGTCTTCAACCTAAAATTAAAATTTTATTTAATTCTATCAAGATTAAAAAGATTTGTACATAGCTCAGAGTTTCTTACCATCTCTTGAACATTGCCAAGTTCAACTACTTATAAATTCAGCATTCCTCCACCAGGAGACTCATTGTGCGACCAGTAAAAGTAAAGTTAATTCTTGAAATTGGCTTCATTACATTACGGCACGAAAAGTAATCAAATTAACTTTTTAAAAAAAGTAACTAAATGTTATAAATCTATAAAAAAGTTACTCCTTTCCATGGGCCACTTAGCAAAACAATAAAAAATCAAATTTAATAATAATTATAAAAATAATAGCACAAATAATATTAATTATTAAATTAAGTGCATGGGGTTGCGGTGCTTCTGGGAAAAACAACGCAGGGGTCCATACACTCAGAGATATAAAACAAAAATTAATCAATTAATAAATTAAATTTAAATGTGAAACCCGACTACTTGGACCTGCCGTGGGGGGTAGGCGGCAGGAACGTAGCTTCAAACGCGCAATTTTCATCATAATCGGTCGTTTTTCGATAATTAAAAAAAAAGTGTGAACCATGTACTCGAAATAACGCAAAATGGTAAATGAAAAATTACTTTTAACACTATGTCAAATAAACTAAGTTACAATTAATAACAAAAAAGTTTAATGCACAATAAGCCTCCGAACTTATTATTCACTGCACATAACACTGTTGGCACTGTATAAAATCTGAAAAGAAACAAACTACATTAAAAATTAATTAAACAACTACATTTTAATTATAACAAGTCAATTGCAAATAATTCCAACATAAGTTTAAATATAAATTTTAATGTTGTAATAGTTTTCTAATTCTAATCTTTTTTTCATTATTATTGACTTTGTAGTCAAATATATTAGCCATTTTCAATTAAAATGATTTTGTACAATTATTGCAATATTCATAGTTTAATGTTATAAGACTTAATAAAATTTATACATATACTGCATATGTTCTTATTTCTATTTGTCATT